ACTCAAAGGAAGGGTCAATGACAGCAATGGCGAGGAGACGAGAGACAGTGGGACTGGTAGCACGAGCACGGTCAGACTCATGGTCAGGGACCTTAGGAAGAGAGGACTCAGGAGGAGCAGGCAGAGGAGAGGCCGGCTGTAACAGCAGCTGCGACTGGTCAGGTGTGTAGAAAACGGGACACCAAGAACCTACTGAAGCAAGGGGACGAAGTACGGTCGCGGCCGCACAGTGCCGCCAGGGTCAACAGCTCCAGCTCCTCCAGCTCCAGCGCCTCCTGCGCCAGTGCCTCCAACTCCAGCTCCTCCAGCTCCAGCGCCACCAGTGCTAGAGCCTCCAGCTCCAGCAGCTCCAGACTCCGTATGGTCTCTAGCTCCAGCGCCCCCAACACCACCAGTCCGGGCAGCTCCAGTACCCCGGGTACGAGCACCTCCAGGACTAGAAGCCGTAGTACCTCTAGTAACACCAGCTCCAGTAGTAACTCCAGTACCTCCAGCTCCAGCGGCTCCAGCACCTCCAGCTCCGGTAGCTCCACTCCAAAGGCATGCGCGCTGAACAAGCCACTCATGCAGCTGCTGCGGAGACAGTCTCAGGGAAGCACCAGCAGAACCTCCAAAGCAGCACCCTAAGACTCAGCACCCCCAGACTCCGCACCCTCCGACTCAACACCCCCAGGCTCAACACCCTCAGGCTCAGCACCCCCAGGCTCAGCACCCCTAGTCTCAGCACCCCCAGGCTCAGCACCCCCAGTCTCAGCACCCCCAGGCTCAGCACCCCTAGTCTAGGCACCCGCAGGCTCAGCACCCGCAGGCTCAGCACCCCCAGACGCAGTACCTCTAGCAGCACCTGAGTCTATTGCTACCTCACCAGGCACTGCACAAGGGGGTGGGTCTACCTGAGAGACACCTGAGGGAGCAGGACCCTGGGTGGGGAGGGGGTCTACCGGAGGGGGACCTGGAGCAAGGAAGAGCGGCGGGGGAGGGAGAGGGGCAGAGCGGTAGGGGAAGAGACGGTAAAAGGGAACCGGCTCATCAAAAGTGACGTCCTGAGAGGGGAGGACACAGCGCGAGGTAGGGTGGTAAAACTGCCAGCCAGGCGCGTCAGGGACAAAGCCAAGGAAGACGCAGGGAATTGCGCGGGCGGAGAGCTTGTCCGCGGACGTATCGCAGACAAAGGCACGAGAAACCCCAGACCCGGAACACCGACGCATCACCAACCTTCCCTGTCCAACGCAGTGTGGGCAAGGTCTCTGGCAAGGAGACACGGGGCTAGAGGTTGAGCTGATGCGCAGCGTACCGGACCGTAAACGGCCACAGAAAATGGGGAGCAGCCGCATGGATCATGGAGGTACGAGCGACCTCCTTGACTAAGCCAATGCGGCGCTCAGCAATCCCATTTTTCTGCGGTGAGGCCGAAAGCGTGAATGACTGGAGAATGCCCTCCCCACGACAAAAGTCCCGCAAGAGGTTGGAGGAGAACTCACCACCTCTGTCAGAGTGCAGACGCAGGACAGGAAGGTCCTGTTGGAACCGCTCGCGGAGCTGCAGACAGACTGCACGGATCCAAGGGATCAAGATATCAACGACTTGACCCTTGCTGCGCAAGGGAAAGACCGTGGTGTACCGCGTGCAGTCGTCAACGACCAGCAAAAAGTAGCGCTCGCGGCCGTCCAGTGACGCGGGCGGGGCCCCACACGTCCATGTGGAGAGTCTGCAGGGGAGCAGTCGTCGGGGGAAACGAGGAGGAGTGAGGAGCGGCGCGCTGCAGCCCCTCGATGCAAGGAAGGCAGGGCGGAGCAGGCAAGGGTGGGAGGGGAGGTAGATACCTGGGGAGACTAGACACAAGGAGGCGAGAGTGCATGCCACGAAGGCGTGGCAGAGAAGGGTGACCAAGGCGGTGGTGCCACAGAAGAGTCTGGTGCGACAGGAGGCGACACGAGCAAGGGGGTGCTACCTGAATTGACGCATACACCTGAGCAGACGCAGCTACCTGAGGAGACTCGGTAGACAATGTGTACAGACTCGACCCTGGCCGACGAGTGAACGTGGCCAGGTGACGACCCGTCTGTGTACACGTGTGGATCGACACACACTGACCCCCAGGAGTGGTTCTAGTGACCATCGAATCCTGGAGGGCAGCGGTACTCACCAAGTTGGTAGAGAACGAGGGGAGGTGAAGACCTAACAGTGAGCCGGACGGAACCGCTGGACACGGGAGGATAGTGGAGGAACGGGCAACAACCGGGCCCCCGGAGGGGTCAGCCAGTCAGTCCGGGAGAGGTGCAGGGAGAGGAGTGAGAGTGGTGCTGTCATGAAATAAACAGCGTGAGGCACCTAAATCCAGCGTGAAGGTGTGCAAGGCCTCAGCAGGCGCAGTACCAGGGAGAGTACCAGACTCACTAGCACCTAGAGCAGCAGCCGCTATTCCTGGGTCAGGTGGCACACACTGGTAACAGTCACCCTCAGCACTAACAGACAAAGCATACATAGCAGAGAGGAAAACATCAAAGTCTAGGTCAAAGATAGCAACTCCAGACCTAAGTAGATCTGCCCAATGAGGGCGCTCGACCTCGTCACCAAACTCAGCATGCCAAGCGTCGTCGAGGCGGGAGAAGCAGCGGTGCTGAGTGTGAAGCCTCCCGCATGTCTGACCAGCACGGTCACCCGTGCGAATGACATACGGGGAGCTATCACTACCCCCAGACGTCCCACGTGGAAACAACCACTCACGAAGCTGCTGGGGCGACTAGGTCTCGCTCCGACGCTGCTGTTGTTGCTGCTGCTGGCCACCTCCAGAACCTCCATGCCGAGCTCGAGTCCTACGGCCACCAGTCCCACCGCCGCCACTGCCGCCTCTCCCACCGCTGCCTCCACCGCCGCCACTAGAGCCCCCACCCCCACCACCAGTCCCACCACTGCCACCACCTCCACCGCCTCCACTACCTCCACTGCTGCCCCCGCCACCACTCCCGCTGCCCCCTCCACGACCCCTACCACCCTTGCCCTTGCTGCTGCGGCGCTTCGCACTAGCAGAAGCAGCTCCGACGTCCTCAGCACCAGGGACGTCTGCAGCAGCAGCAGAGGCGTAGGAGGGGGCAAAGGGGGAGGGGGGGCACCCCTCAAAGAAGGGCGTGCGAGGAGTGCCACGAGCAGCACCTACAGCAACTGCACTAGTCTCAGCTGCAAGGAGGTGCTCCTCAACTAGGTCAACAATGAGGGAGGTTGGGTCAAGTGAGAGAAAGTGGTCCCTGACAGAGCGAAGAGAGCCAGGGAGGCGAGTGACTATGAAGTAGAGGGTGATGAACATTGGGGGCGGGTTCCTGTCAAGGAACTCAGCAGGGACGGTAGCGCGGTAGCGAGCGTCACTAGTGTGCAGGTGGGAAACAAGGTCCTCTACTGTGGTAATGGCTGACAGCTCGGGGAACATGTAGGGCAGAAGCAGACGGCCTAGAGCAGTAGTGGCAGGCGAGGAGTAGCGAGTGACTACAGTGTCGTACAGTGCGTGTGCTGTCCTGTGCTGTCCGAAGTGAGCGCATTCGGCTAACGGCAGGTGGTTGCAAATGGCTAAGCGGGCAGCAGCGTCGCGAGTAAGCCACTGTGAGCGAGTCGAACTGTCAGCTGTGGCGGGAGGGGCAGTAGCGGCGCCTGACGCTAGGTCAAACAGCGAAACACTGTCCTTAGAATCGCTCAGTAGGTACAGCTGCAGATTGTCGAGCCACGTGTCAAACTGAATCGGTCTGCCCTCATGATCGAACGCGAGAACTCGAAGCGAAGCCATAGTGGCGCAGCACGCAGGAGCAGTAGTAGCAATAGCAGCAGTAGTAGCAGCAATAGCAGCAGTAGCAGTAGCAGCAGGAGCAGCAGCAGCAGTAGCAGCAGTAGCAGCAGTAGGGGTCGAGGGGCCTGGGGCCTAGGGGGGGGTCGGGCCGTGGGGCCAGGAACCAGGGGGGGGGGGGGGGCGAGGGGCCGGGGGCCTAGGGGCGACGGGCCGCGGGGCCAGGAATGAAGGGGCCAAGGGGCCTGGGGCCTAGGGGCGACGGGCCGCGGGGCCAAGAACGAAGGGGCCGAGGGGCCGAGGGGCCTGGGGCCTAGGGGGGTCGGGCCGCGGGGCCAGGAACCAAGGGGGGAGGGGGGGGGGGGGGGCGAGGGGCCGGGGGCCTAGGGGCGACGGGCCGTGGGGCCAGGAATGAAGGGGCCGAGGGGCCTGGGGCCTAGGGGCGTCGGGCCGCGGGGCCAGGAACAAAAAGGGGGGGGGGGGGGGGGCGAGTGGCCGGGGGCCTTGGGGCGACGGGCCGCGGGGCCAGGAATGAAGGGGCCGAGGGGCCTGGGGCCTAGGGGCGACGGGCCGCGGGGCCAGGAACAAAGGGGGCCGAGGGGCCGGGGGCCTAGGGGCGACGGGCCGCGGGGCTAGGAAATGAAAGGCCCGGGGCCGCGGGGCGACGGGGCCTAGGGCGACGGGGGCCGCGGGGCGATGGAGCCTAGGGCGACGGGGACCGCGGGGCGACGGGGCCTAGGGCGACTGGGCCTAGGGCGACGGGGCCTAGGGCGACGGGCCGTGGGCGACGGGGGGCCGCGGGGCGACGGGGCCTAGGGCGACGGGGCCTAGGGCGACGGGCCGTGGGCGACGGGGGGGCGCGGGGCGACGGGGCCTAGGGCGACGGGGCCTAGGGCGACGGGGCCTAGGGCGACGGGCCGTGGGCGACGGGGGGCCGCGGGGCGACGGGGCCTAGGGCGACGGGGGCCGCGGGGCGACGGGGCCTAGGGTGTAGGGCCGAGGGGCGACGGGGCCGAGGGCGACGGGGCCTAGGGGCGACGGGCCGCAGGGCGACGGGTCTAGGGCGACGGGCCTAGGGCGGGGGCGGAGCTGCGTGTGCGACTGTAGGGCACGCGGGCAGGAGGAACCCCCTCTTGCCACCCCCTCACCCACCATATTGCAACAGGGCACCGAGGCTGCGTTTAGGGGCGATAGGTCGCGTGGGGCCATGGCTAGGGGCGACGGGGCCATGGCTAGGGACGGGGCCGGGCGCTGGGCAGGTACGGGGCCGGGTGCTGGGCTAGGGACGGGGCCGGGTGCTGGGCAGGTACGGGGCCGGGCGTTGGGCAGGTACGGGGCCGGGCGCTGGGCAGGTACGGGGCCGGGCGCTGGGCAGGTACGGGGCCGGGCGCTGGGCAGGTACGGGGCCGGGCGCTGGGCAGGTACAGGGCCGGGCTCTGGGCAGGTACGGGGCCGGGCTCTGGGCAGGTACGGGGCCGGGCGCTGGGCAGGTACAGGGCCGGGCGCTGGGCAGGTACGGGGCCGGGCGCTGGGCAGGTACGGGGCCGGGCGCTGGGCAGGTACAGGGCCGGGCACTGGGCAGGTACTGGGCCGGGCGCTGGGCAGGTACGGGGCCGGGCGCTGGCAGGTACAGGGCCGGGCGCTGGGCAGGTACGGGGCCGGGCGCTGGGCAGGTTCGGGGCCGGGCGCTGGGCAGGTACAGGGCCGGGCGCTGGGCAGGTACGGGGCCGGGCGCTGGGCAGGTACGGGGCCGCGCGCTGGGCAGGTACGGGGCCGGGCGCTGGGCGCGGAATGGGGCCGGGCGCGGGCTAGGTGCGGGGCCGGGCGCGGGCTAGGTACGGGGCCGGGCGCGGGGCTAGGTACGGGGCCGGGGCGCGGGCTAAGTACGGGGCCGGGGGCGGGCATGATACGGGCCGGGCGCGGGCTAGGTACGGGGCCAGGCGCTGGCGACAGACGGGGCCGGGCGCAGGCTAGGTACGGGCCGGGCGCGGGGCTAGGAACGGGCCGGTCGCGGGCGAGGTACGAGGCCGGGCGCTGGCGAGGGACTGGGCCGTTCGCGGGGCTAGGTATGGGCCGGGCACGGGCGAGAGACGGGGCCGGGCGCAGGCGTAAGACGTGGCCGGGCGCGGGCTAGGTACGGGCCTGTCGCGGGCTAGGTACGGGCCGGGCGCGGGGCTAGGAACGGGCCGATCGCGGGCTAGGTAAGGGCTGGGCACGGGCGCGAGACGGGGCCGGTCGCTGGCTAGGTACGGGCCGATCGCGGGTTAGGTTCGGGCCGGGCGCGGGCGACGGAATCGACGGGGCCAGCGGGGCCGAGGGGCCAGCGGGGCCCAGGGTTGTCCCAAGCCTGGTTAGGTTCGGCCCCAAACCCAAAACGGGTCATCCCCACAGCGATTTTCGGGGTGTTTCTTCTTCTCGGTTGGGGAAGCAGGCTGCGTTGCTCCATCCGGAGCCACGAGTGTCGTTTCTCTCCACATGATCTCTTCCCTCCGCCTTGGAACCTCCTCCCTTCCCAACACTACAAAGCCCACCTGTCCTCGCCAATTCCCACCACCACAACAGTTGCAATTTCTTTCTTCCTTCGACTCTCAGAATCAGCTTCTAGCTCCTCAAGACTTCGATCAGCTTCAGCTCTTAGCTTTCGCCTCTCATTTCGCCTGTGCTATTAGCATCTCGTTCCTAGTGCTATGGCATCTCGGATCCCCCCGTCTCTTGTTGGATCTGCGCGCCGCGCTAACATCTTGAAAACGTGGCGGCACGCGATTGCAGTGCGCGTGGGGCGCTTCAACGAGGAAGAGCAGTGCTCTCTGCGCTCCCCCCGTGCGTCGCTCTGCTTCTCCCCTCTGCGACCCAAGCCCGTGGCTAAGCCGCCCAGCAAAAAGCCGAGGCCCAGGGATGTGATGGGTACCACTCCTGCTGTGAAGCCCAGAGCGTTGCAGAGCGGTCAAGCGACCGTCGCAGCTGCAGCAGTAAAAGCCATGCCATCTAAGGCCACGCCAGCAAAGGTGACGCCTAAGGCGACCCCAGCTAAGGTGACTCCAGCTAAGGCGACCCCAGCTAAGGCGACGCTAGCTAAGGCTATACCAGCCAAGGCGACGCCAACTAATGCAACGCCAGCAAAGGCGCCGCCAGCTAAGGCGACGCCAGCGACTCCAGCTAGGACGACATGTGCAAGCCCTACTGCTGCGGTAGTTGTGAAGGCTGCAGGTGCAAGCAGCCCAGCAGCAGCAGCAGCAGCAGCAGCAACAGCCGCAGCAGCTCCCCTCAGCCCGAAGGCGGGTGTTGTTGGCGGGTCTGGAATTCCGAGACCTGCAGGCAGTGCAGCAACAAGGAGGGTCGCAGCAGGAGCGACGGCGAGTGGCATTCCCAAGCCAGGGAAAGTAGCAGCTAAGTAAAGGAGTGAAAAAAAAAAAAAAAAAAAAAAAAAAAAACGAAAAGACAAGAAAAGAGAGGAAGAAAGAAATACAAAAAGAAAAGCAGCAGCAGAGATCCAGGGCGTGTGCTATGGGGATGTGAAGGGACGAGTGTGGTGGGTGAGATGGCATGGCTGGTGGGGGCTAGATGAAGGTGAATGGAGGGACTTACCCCTTTTTCCACCCTGCTTGCAGGGTGTTGTGGGAGAGATGGGAGGAACGGTGGAGGAATGTGGTGAGCTGGAATGGGGAGGCATGGCATGAGGGGGAATGGCATGCCCTTGGATCTGAATGCTTGTGCTGACTGTGTGCTTCAAGGGGAATGCTCATGCTGACTGTGCCATCTGTTGCTGCACCGTGCACCTGCTTGGCTCATGATTAGTAGAAAGTTCTAGATAATCATTGTTTATGTTCTAAGTCTCTATCTTGTAGATAATCATTGTTGATGCTCTACTTATATATTCTGTTGATGTGCATTCAGTGATTGTGTGTTGCGACTGGTTCAGGAGCTGTCAAAAGAGGACAGGTGGGCTGCGGAGGCCTTACTTCCATCAACTCGTGATGTGCATTCAGTGATTGTGTGTTGCGACTGGTTGGTGCATGGAAGGGAGGAATGGTTGGTGGGTGTATTCGTGTGGATGGTTGAAGCAGGGAGAAGAGACTTGATGGTAATCATAATTTTTTTTCTAGGTCTATTGCTTGTACTTGTTGATGCGTTACTTATATATATGCTGTTGATGTGCATTCAGTGTTCGTTTGTTGTGTCTGGTTGGTGCATGGAAGGGGGTGTATTCGTGTGGTGTATTTGATGATGCTGGCACTGGTTGTCTGATTCAAGGGGAATGCTCATGCTGACTTGGTTAGCAGTAGTAGTTCCCTTGTCATGGCATCATGGCATGTTCTCATCAAAAGCAGGCTAGAGACATCTAGGTCGTGACTTCACCCCATTTTGATCCCTTTCCTCCCCTCTGCATCCCCTCCCCTTTCCCCTTTCAACACGTTTCCTCTGCAGTTTTTACTGAAATCATTGTTGGGGTTCCGAGGATTCTTCGCACAGCCACCTCTTCCTTCATCCCTTTCTGGCCTCTCTTGTCCCTCCGTATCGCCACCACTCATCCCATCCCTCCCTCCCTCTGTTCAGATCTATGAAATTTAAACAGTACGTATGCGTTAACCAGCACAGAGCTTCGTTAATATCATGTGCTGCTTGGTGGGTGTTGCATTCCAGTTTGATTGCGTCCTGATGCGTACACCCTTCCTTGCCAAATTCACTGGCTCATGTCATCATGCCTTTGTTCTCTCTTTGCAGTCTTATCAGCTCATGATGATGCGTTCACTGTCTCATTCGGATCTCATCAGCTCATCGTCATTCGTTCAATCAATCTCTGCCATTCACATCACATCAGCTCATTTCTTTCCTCTCCACGATTCCATATCACCACCACTCTCATCCCTCCTTCCCCCCTCTTCTTTCATTTCTCTGAAACGTGAACAGCACTTGAATGTTAAAGAAGCCCAGAATTATCCCATTTTTTATATTCACATTAGCTAAACGTGTTATTGTGTGTATTATTGCTCTTTCGAAGCATCATATGTCGATGCTGCATCGCATGCCAGTTTCATCAGCCTGTGATTCTTTCACCATTTCCTGCCAACTCATCAGCTCATGTCATGATGCTTTGAGATTCTCATGCGAGTCTTTCAGCTCATCACTCTTTTACCCTCTCATGTCGCTTTCATTAGCTCATGATTCGTTCCTTACCTCATGAGCCTCATGCCATTCACATGATTCTTTCAGTGGCTCATGATGATTTCAGTGGCTCATGATGCTTTCAGCTGCTCATGATGCTTTCAGTTGCTCATGCTGCTTTCAGTTGCTCGTGATGCTTTCAGTTGATCATGCTGCTTTCAGTTGCTCGTGATGCTTTCACTTGCTCATGATGCTTTCAGTTCCTCATGATGCTTTCAGTTGCTCATGCTGCTTTCAGTTGATCATGCTGCTTTCAGTTGCTCATGATGCTTTCAGTTGCTCATGATGCTTTCACTTGCTCATGATGCTTCTAGTTGCTCATGATGCTTTCAGTTGCTCATGCTGCTTTCAGTTGATCATGTTGCTTTCAGTTGCTCATGCTGCTTTCAGTTGCTCATGATGCTTTCAGTTGCTCATGCTGCTTTCAGTTGCTCATGATGCTTTCAGTTGCTCATGATGCTTTCAGATGCTCATGATGCTTTCAGATGCTCATGATGCTTTCAGTTGCTCATTATGATTTCAGTGGATCGTGCGAATTTCAGTGGCTCATGATGCTTTCAGTGGATTATGCGAATTTCAGTGGCTCATGATCCTTTCAGTGGGTTGTGTAAATTTCAGCTCAGCATGATACTGTGAGGGAGTGGTGCGTGGGAGTGAACTGCACTGATTTGAGAAACATATAGAAAGTTATCCATATTGCTCCCATTTCCCCCTCTCCCTTCCCCCACTGTGTATATGTCTCCATCTTCTTTCCTACTTCCATCCTTTACTCCCTCCCTCCTCTTTCAATTATCTGAGTATCAACCAGCAGTGATGCTGTCAGCACCCCTGGCTGTTTACACCATTCCCCTAGCAGATATTGTAAACGAAATTCCTTTTTATGCCACATTCAATAGCTCATTTATGGTGCTTTCAGTATTTCATGCCACAGTCAGGATCATGATGTTTTTTCGTATTGTATGCCAGTCTCAGCAGCTTATTCTCTCAGTTTCTCAAGTCAATTCTTGAAGGTATTAGTGATTTTTGTTTCTCATGCCCAATTCCACCCGCAATTTCTGTTTCCAGTGTGTCATGCTAATCTCATCAGTTCAGCATGCATTTCATCAGCCCCTGATAGTTTTGTAGCTCTCGTCAATCTCATCATCGTATCATGCCTTAAATATCTCATGTGAATTTTAGCAGCTTGATGTGTTCAGTATCTTATGCCAAATTCACATGCTCATCATGCTTTTCCATCTCTTGCCACTCTAAACGAGTCAGAAACCTATCAGTGCATTTTGTTACAATTTGACAAGCACATGATGTTTGCAACAGCAGCTCATGCCAGTTCAATCAGTGCTTGATGGTTTCAGTATCTATTCCAAGTTCACCTGCCCACGATGCTTTCAGAATTTCATGGCAACTGCGCCAGGTGATGGCGCATTCACTATTGCATCCTCTTTCAGCATCCCATGGCAGTCTCTGCAGCTGATGCCGTCAGTATTTCATTCCTGTTCCATCAGCTCATGTTTATATCCTGACATTTACAGTTGCTTTTCATGAGTCCAGCAACTCATGCCAAATTCATCAGTTCATCAGCTTGCTGGTTTCAGGATATCTGCCAACCAAGCTCACCTGCTCATGATGCTTCCAGCATCTCATGGCGAATTCTTCAGCAGGTAATGCTATCAGCCCATGATGCCAACTCTATTGGCTCGTTATGCTTTCAATCCTACAGTAATCCCAGTTATTTATCAATCAACAACAACCGGATCATCCTGAATTATTTCAATTCTCTAATGAAAGATTGTGTTTCCACAACGTTTGTACAGCTACGATGAAAACAAGAAATTGATCTGAATACTGGTGTGAATCTAAACAGCTGCAAAATTTCAAATTCATACGAATCTTACATTTGCGTTACGGTTGACACATCTGCAAATATCGAATCACTAGTTTTTCTCTTCATTCCTCCCGACATTCTCGATGATGGGTTTGGGATGCCAGACGGAACCCTAGTTCCTCGGGATCAGTTTGCTAGAAGCATGCATGCGAGGCGCGTTTCCTGACAGCGCGATGCCTTCAGTCGCCTTGCGATGCGACGCATTACATGCTCCGTCTCAGTCACGTTTCCCCCCCGCCGCTATGCAGCGACTATTGCACTCTATTGACAATGACGGAACGGAACCATTCTTTGAGCAGCCTTGGTTTTGTCTCACGACGGCAAGTCCGTCAAGTTCACCCATCATCCAGTCAACGCACCAGCAGACCCCTTCTTTTCGTGGACGAACCGCTTCATGTTGCTTTGGCAGCCAGCGAGCTTAACGGAAAATGCGACCGTATATTTTTGGGCAGCTGCAGTTAAGCCTGCTGCCCAGAAACTCCGTGAATGTAGATTAACGAGCCGCAATACTGTCAACCGACAGCGCTAGGCTTCGTGGTTTGGCTTGGGACCGAAGACTCGGCTTTCTCCTATTGGCTAACCAGATGCCGAGCTTCGAGGTTCGGTTTGGACCAGCGGACTCGGCCTCCTCCTATTGGCAAGCCAAACCCTTCGTGGTTCGGCCCCTAATACAGAGCAGAGCCAGAGCAATTTTCGGAGTGTTTTTTGTCTTTTTTTCTCGGTTCGGGCAGCAGGTTTCCTTCCTCCACAGCCTCGAGAGTTGCTTCTCTTCGTAGTCGAGCTCCATCCACTCTTCCCTCCGCCTTGAAACCTCCTCCCTTTCCAAACACTACAAAGCCCACCGTCCTCTTCATTCCCACCACCACAGCAGTTGCAAATTTCCTTATTCCTTCAACTCTCGGATTCAGCTACTAGCTCCTCGGAACTTCGATCAGCTTCAGCTCCTACGATGGCATCTTGGATCACCCCGTCTCCCGTTGGATCCGCTGCGGTGTGTGGCATCAGCAGCAGCTTCCGCAGCACGCGCCGCGGCGCTAACGTCTTGAAGATGTGGCGGCGCGCGATTGCATGGCGCGTGGGACGTTTCAGCGAGAAAGAGCAATGTACTCTGCGCTCCCCCCGTGCGTCGCTCGGCTTCTCCCCTCTGCGACCCAAGCCCGTGGCTAAGCCGCCCAGCAAGAAGCCCAGGCCTAGGGATGTGATGGGTACCGCTGCTGCTGCGAAGCCCAGAGTGGTGCAGAGCGGTCAAGCGACCATCGCAACTGTAGCAGTCAAAGCTACGCAAGCTAGGGCGACGCCAGCTAAGGTGACATCAGCCAGGGTGACGCCAGCCAAGGCGACGCCAGCTAAGGAGACGCCGGCTAAGGTGACGCCCATTAAGGCGACACCTGCTAAGGCTACGCCAGCTAAGGCGACGCAGGCTAAGGTGGCGCCATCCAAGGCGACGCCAGCCAAGGCAACGCCAGTTAAGGCGACGCCGCCAGCTAAGGTGACGCCAGCGACACCAGCTAAGGCGACACGTGCAAGCCCTACTGCCGCGGTAGGTGTGAAGGCTGCAGGTGCAAGCAGCCCAGCAGCAGCAGCAGCAGCAGCAGCAGCAGCAGCCGCAGCAGCTCCTCTCACCATGAAGGCGGGTCTTGTTGGCGGGTCTGGAATCCCCAGACCTGTAAGCAGTGCGTCAACAAGGAGGGTTGCAGCAGGAGCGACTGCGAGTGGCATTCCCAAGCCAGGGAAGGTAGTAGCCAAGTGAATGACTGAAAAAAAAAAAAAAAAAAATGTGAAGCAGCTGCTGCAGCAGCAGCAGCATATAAGATCCAGGGCGTGTTCAGTGGGGATGTGAAGGGACGTGTGTGGGTGAGATGTCATGGCTGGTGGGGGCTAGAGGGAGGTGCATGGAGGGACTTACCCTTTTTTCCACCCTGCTTGCAGGGTTTTGTGGGAGAGATGGGAGGAATGGTGGAGGAATGTGGTGAGCTGGAATGGGGAGGCATGGCATGAGGGGGAATGGCATGCCCTTGGATCTGAATGCTTGTGCTGACTGTGTGCTTTAAGGGGAATGCTCATGCTGACTGTGCCATCTGTTGCTGCACCGTGCACCTGCTTGGCTCATGAATAGAAGAAATAAGTTATATATATTTATCATTTAGGTCTAAGCCCTATGTTCTAGGTCTGTAGCTTGTAGTCGTTGATGCTTTATTTATATATATGCTGTTGATGTGCATTCTGTGCTTGTGTGTTTCGACTGAGTGGTGCATGGAAGGGAGGAATGGTTGGTGGGTGTAATCGTGTGGATGGGTGAAGAAAGGAGAAGCAACTTGATGGTTCTTGCAGTGACTGTGTGATTCCAGTGGAATGCGCATGCTGAATTGGTCAGCAGAGGAGGGGTGTGAAGCAAGGGGAAATGGTGAGCAGGTGTGTGTAGTGGAGAATCATCATCAGGTTTGTGTAATAGTTTTCATCAGCTGATGCTCTCTCATTGACGCCCTTTGTTTCATTACCTCCAGCTTCAAGCAATTTCATTCTGTTAAGAAATGCATTTTTTTCTCGAGCTTATGTTGCCCTGCCGTTCTAGTCTGCAGTACCTTCTCTCAGAATCCCCTTACGGCCTGCCCTCATTTAAGAGCATTTAGGTTGATACAAATTTGCCTTGTCTCCGCCTTTTCTGAACAAAATCCATTTTACATCCTCCCCACTGTTGGTCTGAGAAAAGCCCTTAGGATCTTTCCAGGACTAAATTCTGAGTAGGACTGGTGTAATAGCGGAAGCGTTAAATAAAGGACTTTGTGAACCACCTTGCGCTAGTATGTGAGGGCAAAGTAGATTGATTAATAACAAAGAGATACAAGCTTTTATAAGAATACAGGGAATATGTAGGGTTATAACTAATAACCGTTTTACCATTGCTGTTGCGGTTCGGTACAGTGACGACTCGGGCAACTGCTCAATAGCGAGTCAGTTGTTTGTCCGTGCTGTCGCGCTGTACTTGTCAGGTCAAAGGTCGCTGACCTTTGACTTTCGCGTAACCTCCAGCAGTTGTTCAACCTCCGAGAGTTGACTCACTGATGCTTCGATATGTTTCGCTTCGTTTCTGACTTGGTGTTTCGACATGACAGAGGCGGTTAAATCAATTGTTTCCAACACTCCCCTTCGCTTCTAAAGTGTCGCTGCTGATGACGTGGCTTTGTCCAGTCAGCAGCATGCAATATTCGAACTTCGACTTTCTGAGCTTCTTGGTCAAGTAATCAGCTGCCATCTCGGATGTGGGGCAGTAAGACAGCTTAAGTCTCCCCTTCTCGATCTCGTCCTTTACGAAGAAATATCGCAGGGCGATGTGCTTCGTCCTGTTCGCGAATCCGTTTTTGTTGGCTATGCGAATTGCCGACTGGTTGTCGCAGAACAAGGAGAAGCTGGGTAACTGAGCCAGCTTCGCCTCCTCCAGTAGTTCGCGAAGGTACAGTCCTTCCTTGGTGGCTGAGCAGAGTGCGATATATTCAGCTTGAGCTGAGGAGAGAGCGATTAGTTCCTGCTTGCTCGATTGCCAGGAAATAGGTCCGATAGGTTCGAGGCGATAGATGTAGCCGGTGCGTGAGCGTCTGTTGTTGGGATCGCCGGCGTGATCTGCGTCGACGTAGCCGACTAGTTTAGGTATCGTAGTCCCGTTCTTGTGGTAGGTTAGACCGACGGTTGCGGTGCTGACGAGATAGTGGAGAGCACGGTCGAGTTCGGCCATGTGTTCTCCTTCAGGTATCTTGAGATAGGTTGCGAGCTGGCTTGCGGAGTACGATAGGTCTGGACGGCAAGTAACAGCTGCGAAGAGGAGGCATCCCAGCTTCCTCTGGTAGTTGCGTATGTCGGCGGATTTTAGTGGAGCGGATCCTTCCTTGTTGTTTCCTGCCGTGTAGCGGTATGGCGTAGAGATGGTGGTTGGCGTAAGTGAGAAGCGTTTGGCGATGGTGTCGACGTACTTTGCAGCGTTGAGGTAGATCGCGTTTTCTTCTTCCTGAATGTTTAGGCCGAGGTATTGCGTGACGGTAGATGATACTGTGAGCGTGAGGTCTTTCTGTAGCTCCCCTTCGAACCAGATAGTGACGTTGTCGGTCGACCCGATGTAGAGTAGATCGTCTACGTAGACGATTAATAGAATATAGTCGTCGCCTTTCGTGAGCCGGTACATGCCTTGGTCATGTGGTAGCTGCTGGAATCCGATGCGAGTAAGTCGAGCATGTAGATATTGCTGCCACAATCTTGGGGCTTGTTTGATCCCGTACAGGGATCTTTGCAGCTGACAGACTTGGTTGGGCTCTCCGTGGGAACCGTGTGGGAGTTCGACGTAGATTTCGGCGTCAACAGGTGCGTAAAGGAATGCATTGGCGACGTCGATTTGCCGCAGTTTCTTTTTCTTCATGGCAGCGATCGCGAGAAGAATTCGTAGTGAAGTGTGTCGGCTGACCAGAGCGAATGTCTCGGTGAAGTCACGTCCATGCTCTTGGTCGAAGCCGCGTACAACCAACCGTGCTTTAAACTTGTCGATGGTGCCGTCTGCCTTTGTCTTCACACGGAAGACCCATTTCCCGGTGAGTACTGTCTTGTTTCGTGCCACGCCGATTGGGACGACTTTCCAGGTGTTGCGTTCCTTCAGTGCTTTCAGTTCCTTGTCCATGGCTTCACGCCATTTTTCCCTATGCTCCCCCCCCAGAGCCTGCTGAACTGTGGCAGGCTCCTTATGAGTTTCCGTGCCGTGGACCGCGGTGACTAGGCCGAGTATCTGGAGGCCACTCTGTGTGTAGCGGGGGAGAGTTGTGTCCGCGGGATAAGCTGCTTCGTCACCTGCTTCTGGGTCAGGTATGAAATTGGGCCCTATGCGTTCTGCTTCGTTGGTGTTGACTTCTGCAGGTGTAACGTAACCGGTGTCGGCGAAGTCGAAATAAGTTTCGGCGTTGACGCTTTCGCGAGGATTTTCGTCGTCCATCGGGATAGGTACGGAGCAGTATGGGAGTGGTCCTGCTTCCTCCGAGGCGTTATCCACGTTCTGCTCGTCCCAGTCAGCTTCGTCTACTGCCGAGGCGAAGGCTCGATCACCACGGAAGCCACCTGTGGGGTCCCGGTCTTCTTCCAGGTTGGCAAGATATGTCGGAAGGGTGAGTCGTTCGTAGATAATGACATCACGTGCTGCTACTGTTTCTTTGGAGTGGACATCGAAAATCTTCCACGCGTTGTAATTTCTTTCGATGCCCAAGTGTAGTCCCCACTGTGCGCGTTGGGAAAATCGGCTGCTCGTGCAGATGGGGGTCGGTACTGTACCATGCAGCCGAAAAATCTTAACATTTTTGTGCTGCCCTGTTTTCCTGTCCACAGCAGGTGCGGTGATGCGTTGTTCGGTAGTGATGATGACGAAAGCAAGTTGTGCAGCATGACAGCGTGGTCCATCGCTTCAGGCCACTGGTGATTGGGCAGTCGCATGCCACGCAGTAATTTGCGCATGGTGTTCTGGAGAGTTCGATTCATCCGTTCTGCCACGCCTTGCTGCTGATGGGCGTAGGGAAGCGAGATGAGGCTCTTGATTCCTCGTTCTGCCAAGTACTGCTTGAACCTCTGTGAGGTGTATTCTCCTCCTCCGTCTGACTGAAAGCTTCTTAGTTTCACGCCCGATTCTCGTTCTGCTACCGGGAGCCAAGCGACGAAGGCCTCGAAAGCCATGTCCTTGCTCGGAAGGTTAAGGTGCCAAACGTAACGCGTAGCGGCATCGATGAACGTGATGGTGTAGCTGTATGCTCCTTGTCCAGGTTCGCGATTGTACAGGATGTCGCTGTACACTTTCTCAAGTGGTGCGTAAGCTGGTGCGCTAGGGTTGTGGTGAGAAGCGAATGGTCGATGCGGTAAGTCTGCTTCGGGGCAGGTAAAGCACGTTCCACGAGCTCGTCGAAGTTCGCTTCCATCGGTTAGAAGCAGTGAATCTTTGTCGAGTACTCCTGCTCTGATTGTGTTGTTTAACACCGTGTTACTTGGATGTCCCATTCGTGCGTGCCAGATGTCTTTGCCAGCTCGATGTCCGGGTGAACGACGGTACATGTCGGAGTTGGAGTAGAAACTTGTAGTGAAGTTTGTGCTTCGATGTACTTCTCGTGATGTTGGGTTAAGCTGCTGCGCAAGAGTCGGTGGAGTGCCGTCGATTTGAGCTGGTGCAGTTGAAGGACCAGCGATTGGTGTCGATGGTGCTTCTGCTGCTGCCGTTGTTTCTGCTGCTGCCAATGTTGTTTCTGCTGCTGCCGATGTTGTCTTTTCTGCTACCGAGTGTTGAATTGTTGCTAATGCTCTTGTTCGTTCTGCCTCAGGGATGGTGTGCGAGTACCAGAAGCCTTCTGGACTGAAGTCGGGGTCGAGATCTGGTGGATGTGTCCAGGAGGTGAAAGTGACGATCCCGTCGCTGTCAGCGGTGCCAAGGTCTGGGACGAAGTCGAGGACGAATACGTTATTTTTCAAGACCGCTTTCCCGATGTAGAGACCGCCTTTCCCGTGGTATAACTTGAATTCTTGAGTGGTGCTATCTGCTTCAAGGTGTATGCCCTTCGCCATCAGTTGACTGACACTGAGTAGGTTGTAACCGAGTCCTGCTATTAAAACCTTTGACATCTGCGGTATGACGTTTGTTTCTCGTGACTGAAGTTGCACTACGCCTTGTCGTCATGTGCGCAGGTTCTGATTGTTAGCGACGGTGATGACGACCTCGCGTTGAAGTTGGTGTTCATGTTGAACAAAGCGTCCTGAAGAGCACATATGCTGTCCGCAGCAGCTGTCTAAGAACCACGTATCTTTTCCGGACGGCTCGCTTTGAGCGATGGCTGCATATGTCGGATTTGGTTGAAGTGACTCGCGGCGAGGCATGCTGTTGTCGAGTTGCTCTTCCGGTGAGTAATGTGGTGGTGACTCTGTGATGCAGGAGTCGGTCAGCCGTGTCATGCAACTGACGATGTTTCTTGTTCCTTGCGCAGGTTGTCCTG